GAAATTCTCACTTTATACCATCTAGCTTTTTCTACGGACTTCGACTAGTGTTGTCCGAAAGCTCTGGTTCTATTTCTGGCTGTTTACTTACGTTTAATTTTTAGCTGTTGCTTATCATTTTTGTATCTCTACTGAGATCCAGCCATTGTTTCCCACAGCATTGTTGTTTTTCAGTATTTTGCCTTTTAATCTATCTATCTATCTATATATATATATATATATATATATATATCTCATCAAAGAAAGGTAAATACAGTTTTCGAATTAAGGACAAGATAATACATCATGTAGTATACACATGTATATAAGGCATGCCGTGACACATGGTCAATAACATTACAAACTCTCAAATCAACAATTTTGATTTGTTGTCTGTTGAAATTGTTTTCTTTCAAAATGTATGTGAACTTAAAACAGTAACTCTAATGCCTTGATTACAGTGGCGGATCCAGAAATTTGGGTGTCAATACCCCCTTAGCCCCACCATGGTCGGATTAATGTAAGAACATTTATAATTATGGAACCTCTAGACGTCCGGGAAAATGGCACGCTCAGTCCTAAAATTTGAATATAATTTTTCTTTTTTTTTCCATTGAATCCGCCACTGGATTAGTCTACAAAATAGAAGCCTGAGATTACTTTTGCTTCTAGTGCATTTTAAAGGTTTCATTACCATTTTTTCCAGCATAGCTTCTGTTAAAACCACCATTGTTAATTTTATCAATCGTTGACTCATCTGTACCATGGTATAAAACTCGTTCAACTTGTTTACCAGGCATTTCTTTTCCAAATGCTTCTTTCTTGGCAGCATATTGCTTCCACAACTCAATGTTTTGTATGCGGCTTATCTACAAAAAAGGAATACGCACTTAAACATAACAAAAATAACAATATTTATAATTGATGAAAGGAATAATCATAACAAATAATGAAAAAATTAGTAACAATATGATGGTAATTAGCAATAACTTTTATTAACAAAAAGAATCATGGTGATGATGATAATGATGATTATGATAGTGAGGATGATACATAATATATCGACTCTGAAAAGAAGAAACATTATTTTCCTATTATCGATTCGAACCCTACTTTGATTACCATTCCCATGGCACTCTTTATATTCAGGTCAAATGTATACACGGTTTGATTTTTCCTTTAAGACACATGTATTTTTTCCAAGATAGACGATGATTATGATGGTCACCATGATGATGATATTAATTACAGTGACAGCTTCACTTCTCACCTCCGACACTACCCCACCGACAATACTAATCTAATCTAATCGAATTTAGAGGAATCAGCTGCTAGTTCCATCGTACTAGCCTCAATGTGGTCAGTTTCTTTCCACGCCCTCTTTAACCTACACAGTATTCTTTCAACTAGTTACCTATTTATGCTCCTGAATGGAGAAAGATAAACGTAGCACACAAGCGAAATGCATAGGAAAGGTTTTAACCTTTCCTATGCATAAAAACATGTACTTAAAAGTAGCAACCCATAATACAAGGCAAATTATACAAACCTTTATACTCTGGTGTGCATATGTTCCTGCCAATGATGCCAGAAATTGCCTTTCTACATCTTGATATTCTTTACCTTGGTTAAGGTCAACAACTTTCAGTTTGTCAGTTGGTGCCATCGTTGACCAAGTACGAGGTAAAATTTGACCAGCTAAATAAAACAATGTAAAGCTAAAATTAGAGTCAAACACAAAGATGTCTGACTAATCAGAGCATAATCAAACCAGGTTTACTATACACTACTTCAAGATGGTGAGACAACATGAATTTAGGTACCATTATTAGAGACAAAAAGTCAGCCTTTGAGTCAATCGATCGCTCACTCTTTGGCATGGTGCAAGGAATAAATAATAGGTAGTCGTCGTATGCATGCTTGATTGATTGATTGATTGCTTGCTTGAATTTTTCGACCAGCAATCGGAAATACCAAGTGTATACTATTTCACCTTTACGAATATCACATACAATGCATTGTTAATCCTACGACTAAAATGCATTCTTAATACATATATAAAATTATGCGAAATTCACACATATTTACCAGTAAGGTCTGTTCGTATAACGGGAACAGATCGGTTTGTTTTTAAATCTGTTTCTTCCATAGATTCCAGATCAACTTCATAGGAGTGATTATTACTAGCATCATACTTTACTTTTTTGGCTCGTTTTTTGTACGCTTTTTCTAGCAAAATCACAATATCCTCTTCAAATTCTACCAGATCAGTGTCATCACTTGCATAATACCATTTAACCTTCTTTAGAATGAGCTTATTTTCATTCTGTTCCCTTTCCTCATCGAGAAACTTGTTAATGAGTTCAAAGACTTCCCCTTGAGCATCCGCAACATTATTAGTTCTGCCATGTAGTTCAACTTTGCTGGACCGTATGTTGGTTATATCTACTACGACCTAAAATTAATATGGATCATGAATGGAAAAATTCAAATCAGTGCCTGAATAATAATAATAATAATAATAATAATAATAATAATAATAAACATTTATATAGTGCCAATTCAAAAATTTATCAAAGGCGCAGGAGAAAACAAACTCAGTAACATTTCTCAAAAAGGTGAAACTTTAAGTTCTTCTTAAAAGAATATAAATTAGGCGAATTACAAACAGAAAAAGGAAGAGAATTCCACAGAGAAGGAGCTTGAACAGAAAAAGCACGTTGACCATATGTTTTGGTTTTGGTTTTTTTGAAAAAAGTAATTGCTTTTTAAATCAATTACCTCTATGATGATGTCTCGATTGACATGTAATTGTGTTTTTACCTTCAACGTTATCTGCGTATGTCAAGCTGGCAATAATTTTAAAATCATGCTTTATTATGCCTGCCTGCCATGCTGCGATTATTGCCCGTGGCTACATCAAGTCACTTTCTTTTGACAACGCGGCAATTACAGTTAACAAAACCAGTTTTCGTAAACATTGTAGATCAAAAACAAAAATGTATTGCCAAACGAACAAAATAATAAGCAGAAAAAAATGTCATTGTACATGGTACCTAAATTTAAAAGGACGTCAGATTTAAATTTAATGTCTTTTTAATAAAGAAAAAAAAAACCATCAAAGTTAATAATACTGTGACAAAAATAACTAATAATTTATTGAATTTTGGTGAAGACTTTAAAAAGCAACAATTATTGGTTTTTGGCACTAAATGGAGAAATACCGTAGTGTACTTATGAGCATTTACCACTAAAAAATGTCTCCAGTTTGTGCAGACTTTCACTCTATCTTTAAAGCAATCATTTCTTCTATGGATCACTATTTTCAAACAATGCTTACCAAGAATAATAGCAATAATTTACAAAAACACTTTATATCAGTGACAAACCCATGCATGGTGTGTTCAGAAACAAGATACATAATCAAGTACACAAATACAAAAATCATAAAATGAAAGTAGTTCAATACGCCACGAATCGTCAAGCACATTGAGTTATTGAATTTGTAATTGTAAAGTTTTATGGTCTGTTTGTTTGTTTTTGCCGTAAAAAGCATTATTATTAAGAGAAAGCAAGTTTCCACCTAAAATTTAAAAAAGAAGTTTTACCGCTACAGAATATTTTCCAAAAAAGTAGATGTGTGATTAAATCATTCTTAAGTATTTTAAGTTGACTTTCTCTTTTACATGTAATTACAGAAGAATGGATAATGTCTTCTAGGTTTCCACAAATACATAATGTCAAAGACATCATTATTTTTGGTACACTTCTCAATCATTATTTTTGGTACACTTCTCAACCAAAAATCTCAAGGCAAAGTGTTAGTACAAACTTTCAAATAAGACGATCGCCGTTAAAATTGTTTTTGTAGAGTAAATCATTTTTAAGACCAAATTTAGATTATTTTAACTCCAAGGAGTTAAAAAAAAATATTTGCAGTTGAGGTTTTTTAACCACATTCAGTTAGCATTGTGTACTATAATTTTGTTTTAATGACAAGACAATTAATATTTAAGAAAGTTACACAGTTATAACATCTTGAATAAGATGTGATGTGATAATCAGTTATTAATTGCTTTAAAATATATTGTATAATATGTTGAACTATTAAGCATTCAAAGAATATTTATTCAAAGAATAACTTATTCAAGATAGAGATTGACTGAATATTTCAGTCTCTTAGTGTTTAGAACAAACGTTTTAAACTCAGCAGTTAACACTCTTGTTGAAAGGTGAATTGTATGTGGAAGCTTAATTATTTTTTTGCTCTCTGACCTACCGATCAACTGACTGATTTACTGAATGATCGATTGACTGATTGATAAAGAACTGATTGCTTAATTGATCAATAAATTGATTGAATGAAGCATATGCATTTGTCACAATTAGGAAATTTGTATTTGCGGTTAAATAATGCAGTAGCATACAGTACCTCATGTTTGGCCCCTATAGCTGTTAACTTCATTACATACTTGTTTGTAAATCGATTGAAAACATCGTGACGAATGATCTGTAACACAAAAAAACAATTTTAAAAACAAAATTCAGTTAGACATCAGAATATTCTAATAGGCCTAATAGTGTCACACTGTAAACAGATTGTTTACTGTAGTTTGTTATTAAAGTGTTTTTACTCTCCAACAATTATTAAGATGAGATATACTTTTACAAGAAAATGTTCACTACTGGATTTGTTAATCCAAGAAAGTATGTTTCGCAAATCGTTTCATTTGTATCTGATTGAAGCAGCCCTTGTAATTTATTATTACTACAATGGAAATATAAGATTAAACCTTTTCTGTCGTTTCCAGCGATATAATCGATTGTATGCTGTCTTTTGCATTTTGTATTTGGTCCTCGTTCATTGCCAGAATTTTTAGGGTAAGGGTTGGGGTAATAGGAGAGTCATCATCATTTTCCCCTTCCCCTGCACCCATCCATGACTTTACAAAATCTAGAGAGCATAAAAATAAAAATGCATGTTTATTGTGTTATCGTTTGCACCAACAGTCAACAAAAAAAAATGCCTTATTTTTTCTTATCAAATTTACTGTTTTAGCTACAATCATTCATATACGTTTGATATAGTACACTTATTCGATGCTTTTCTCCATCGAGATTTCCAAAAGATTATCATGCAGGCCAATTCAGCTCACTCTTCTTCACTACTTGTACTCAGCACATATCAGCGATATGTTGACCTGTTGATTTGCTCTATTTTGTCCCTTAATTGATTTTTGGAGTTCAATTTGATGTGTTTGATTGTAATTTTTCACGTTTTTATGCCGTTTCTTGTTGTGAAGTTGTACTGTATATATTTAAATATTTTTATAGGTATTTTCGTAAATTTTTTGTTTGTGTGAATTTGCCTTGTTTAATGAATGATGAAATTCCATTTTAATGCATATAAATTATTAGTTGATTCTGTAAATTTCTATTTTTATTCAACAGCCTTTGCTAATTCCTTATTGTTTTATCTTTTTATATGTATAATTCAATCAATGTTTACTTTGGTTGCCAATAAAGATATTTTCAGTTTGAATTTTAAATACACTGACCTTAATACCTAGATGGCACTAGGTGTCGTACCCACTTTGTCGTACCCACTTTCATCTTACTTCACTGGCCTTTTTTTTATTTATTTTTTATTGGACCATGAGACAACTGTATACTATGCCTCATAAACTATTGATTAATAGATTATTTATTAAAGGTTCTATAGTTCATGAACAGCAGGATAGAAACTGCATCATATTTACCGAAGCACCTTTATGGTAACTTACCAAAACCCTTTTGCAGAAAATTTCTCTGACGAAATGGTTTCCCCTCTATCTCTTTCATTACAGATATAAATTCAGCAGTCATGGATTTCTCAAATACAATTATTCTGATGTCGCGCAAGTTGGTCGGTTTTTGTTTTATCGCAAATGAACAGATACAATCCAGAATGAACATTGCTGACTCCTTGGATGATCTAGATGAGACTCCTAACAATAATAAAAGAAAATATGGAGTAATAGCCATTAAGACAAAACTGTAAAATTGGATGATGCAAATGCATTGAACCGTAAAAATTGTGCACACAACAGTAATTTTGTAATTAAAAAAATGTGTTATCGGGAATTACAATGTGTAGCTAAAATAGTGTCTTAGTACTGTATACTGAAATTTTAAAATAGTATGAATAGAGTGAAAACTTTTATTATATTATTGGCTTTACTGATTTAGCAGTAATAGCCATTGTTTGTTTCAATTCTTTTTCTGCTTTTGCACAGGGTTTTTCTGACCGGTCCTTTGGTCACTATCCATGCTTGGATCTTCTTCAAGCAAAGACCATATCAAAGATGTGCATATTAATATGATGTCATTTATCATATTTTGAATATTAATAAATGGGTAAACTTTTATGTTAACGCAATTTGCGTTTTCTAAAGCTTTCCAACTAGCTGTAGCTCTGTTAAACACAAAATTACCATGAAATGCATGAACAATTTTCGACCTCGACTTAGCATTACAAAAGGTAAATAAAAATGTGATGACCTCCGTAGGGTCTGGTTCTTTAGAGTAGTGGTAAGAGCTCTTAACATCACCCTGGTTATTACTATACCACTGCAGCCATAGTTTGAGTCTCACTGAGCTCAAATTTAATCTTGCGTTTAAATTTTTTACATAATTCTCTTTATTATAATTATATTTATGTTTTTCATGTATTTTTTAATACTTTTTAAAATTTTTTCTCGGCTCACGCTAACCAATCGCCAGATCGCCATGGGCGAAAAATATTTTAGATTGGTGAAAAAAAAAATCAACTGCTTTAGCCATTTTGGCGAAAGCCGAAAATTAAAAAAAGTTTTGAATACTTGCTGAAATACATCGTTTTTTTCATTTTAGCTCCATTTTTCGCTAACTTCATGCGACGCTTATTTGTGTTGTTGTATGAGTAGTCTTGCTGCAAATGCCATTGCGTGCCTCGCAAGTTATTTTTCATTTGTAATTGTTATTCTAACGCGGTAGATGCAGGCTAGTGGCTGTGACGTAGACTAATATGAAGGTACCACACTAGCTTGGGTTTTTCCACTAAAACACAGGGCCGATGCGATGTGATGGTGGTCCAAACAGTAGGCCTATATCCTAGTATCTTTAATAATAATTTAATCAGTGATTTCAGTGAACGTAAAATACATTTAAATGTGTGAAATAATTTAATAATGCAATGTGGTTCGCTTTGTTACACAGTGTACGTACTTGTGTTGTAGAGAGAGTACAGGGGCAGATTTAGGGGGAAGAAAAAAAAAAAAGAGAAAAGAAAAAGAAAAAAAATGATAGCCCAGAACGCCTCAAATTTTATTTTCGAGCGCCAGAACACACAAATTTTGCAGGGACGTGCTCCCGGACCCCCTAGGACACTGTTGTCTCGATCATCCTAACTTTCGGCCCCCCCCCCCTTATGGACATCTCTGGATCCGTCCCCGGAGTAAATTCGCAAGCAAGGCTAGCCTAGGGCGTAGATCGTGTACGCTCTTGATTATCGCGGTGACAACTTCGGGTGACAGATGATTGGGCCCCAAGCCAATTTTGAATATACTGTAGTCTAGTAAAACTACCGCTAGCTCCCACCCCCGATATTGTTCAAAACTAAAAAGAAAATACTGTATAGGCACTTTTGTGATGATATGCCTACATATTCAGCAAACTTTCAAAGTACCTCATTTTTATTGGTGTGCTAAAAATATTAATTTGCCTATCAATATTAAATGTTCTCTCTCCCCCTCCCACCTACCAGAGATTTTTTCTGGTACCCTCATCGAGGCACAGGGGTGGGGAAACTACTCCCCTCCTTTTTTTTTTGGAAAGTAAAAATAAGAAATTGATTCTCCCAAATAAATAAATGCCTCAGAGGTTTATTTTTAGGCGTTTTTGGGAGTAAAAAATACTGTAGGACCCCCTGGAATAGTGTTGTCTCAATCGCTTCCGCCTCCCCTTTGTGCATCTCTTGATCCGACCCGGCAGGACTCTAGTCAGCCCCTTGGTTCGGACTCCACTGTCGAACATGTTGGACACCATCCTGAACAATTTTCGTCAAATTTTGGCTAAAGACAGCTTCAATTGGCTAATTTGGAGCGGGCTCTAATTATTTTTAATCTTATCATGCAACTGGGGGCGCTAATCAGAAGCAAAAACCCGGAAGAAGGTGACTGAAACACCACTGAAGAACTTCACGTCGCGAGGTAAAACAAAATTTAAAAATTTTTCTGACGCATGCGCAATTTCACTCTAAAATGTACACACACACACACACATACAGTACACACACACACATACAGTACACACACACATGCAAAATGTGATTGCAAGAGTCCCTATTGCATTGTATGTTTAGGAACTAAAAATATGTAATAGAGTGAGCCCAGTTTTTTTTGGTAATTATGTAATTTTAACATCGCTTTTCATTAAAGATGTATTGTCCCAGTGGCTGGAAGTGTTTCTATCATTTTTCGCTGTAAACTGATTGGTAGACATTTTTTAAAAACATTAATTTCTATGTTCAAGTTCATAACTTTTATGTTACTTCAAAATGGGCAAGTTAATTTCAAAAAATATTTTTATGATTTTTTTTTTATATTTAGCAAGGGGCAATACATCTTTAAGGCAATGAAGAAAAGCCTCATGTTTTACAAAAAAAGCCTAGTAGTAGTAAGCCTATAGTTACAACATTGTGCATGGTAAATACAAATTTGTACCTGTGCCAATAGCTGGGAACGCAAATGTTTCATTTTGCCTTTTTTCTGCTGTTTTCAATACTCTAACCAGGACTGGTTTGAGATTACTGAAGCTATCGGTAGGTACATGACAAATACCACCACAATTCAATCTTCCGGGGCCTGTCCATACCTCATCTTTAGGTGCTGCAACACCAAAATAATATAAAATAATATAATCATAATAAATCTCATGAAATGCAAAATTTACATTCTGAATTCAATATATTAAATATTATTATTGTTATTCCTATAGTAGTAGTAGTAGTGGTAGCAGTAGTAGTGCAGTAGTGGTGGTGGTAGTGGTAGTGGTGGCAGTATCAGTAGAAGTAATGTAGGTGTACAACAAGGTGTGTTTGAATTATTTCCACTACTGCAGTTTCATGCTATGTGCAATCTTCAGGTGGTTTATTTCATTTTATTTAGTTTGTCAGCACCCCCATTTTAAGACTTCTAGATATGCCACTGAGAGTGACAAATGAGGAAGTTTATAGAAGAGTAGGAGTGAAAAGGAATTTGTTGAATATTGTTAAGAGTAGAAAGTGGAAATTCTTTGGGAGTTGCCTGGTCAGGAAACATCAAGGACTAGGGCAGCGTGAGCTACTACAGGTGTGTCAGGATGGCACAGTAAAGAAAGAGATGGAGGTCCATGTCAGCCAAACTGCTAGGAGCAGAAGACACCCACAGGTAACAGTCGCTGTTGGATCCCTGAAAGAACAGGACATAATGTGGATTTGACCCCTCTAAACACAACCTGCTGCCTCTTATTCAAAATGAAAGCAGTTTCATTTGCCATTTTTAGGTTCAAGTTGTCCTGGATTTAGTCTTGTCGTAAACCTGAAGATTGCACATAGCAAGAAACTGCAGTAGTCAAAGTTATTCAAACAGGTCTTGTTGTTTACCTATACTACTATATTAGCTTTACATATACGGTAGAGTAGTGTACTCAATCTATTTGACCCACAATGGAACGTGTATACAGTGGCGTATCCAGG